TATAAAAAAAAAAAAAAAAAGAAATAATCGAACGCACCATATGTCACGTGACGGCACGACAGCGAATCACAGCGGAGAGCCGAGGCAGAGTGCGCGTTCCTTGAAGCAAATGAACTCAGTGGAGTTGGTTGAGCACTGAAGTGACGGAAAGGGAGTAGATCCTACTAAACATTAAATAGGAAAACTAGAGGTTAAACTATCGATTCCATCTCGCTGGTATCGATCCGATACAATACCAACTTTAATATCGATTATATAAATACCCCGGATCGATCCGCCCACCCCTAGCTCATTCGCCTCTAGTAAACGTATAACTCGAAACTGAGGTACGTATGGTCCGTATTTTTATCTTGTCATCGTCTTATGGTTTTGCTTAGCGATACAGTGTAGTGCTCTGCGTTTTAGTATATGCACATGTACCCCTGTTAATTGATACTTGTATTAGTTTCGTGTACTTCTTCAATACTTCATTTTTTGATTTTTCGTTTAATTTACTCATTAATTATAACATACATTATTTGTCATTCTGCATGTGTCCATTTATGTATTTTGTTGTTTTAGTCGGCACTTGGTACTGCCACAAAAGTTCTTACTTTTGTCTTGTGGTTAGTGGCGCACATTTAGGAAACGGCAGAATCTGCTTGGATCTAGTGCTGGTTTCAGATCTCCGCTAACCATAACAAAAAAAGTAAGTAATTCGTAAATCCCATTATTAAAATTGTTAGGATATAATCCTATCAGTATAGTATTGATTATACCTACCATTATAGTATCGAACAGAAACTTTTGTGAGTTCGTAACGGCCTTATTTTTCTTTACCTACGGTCACTGTAATGAGAGCGTAAGATAAGAGCTGAATTACTTTGTGATGGTTGACTTCTCCGTCACGTTTTTTTTTTAGGTGGGTTCGAAAGTTATTGTTGTTAACACGGAGTTTCGGTTGCAAGTTAAAGCTGTACAGAGCTGAAAAGAATTTAATTTCTAATTATATTTCATTATGTGTAACGCTTCTGTTATGTTAATAGAAAAGTTTTGTGGTTATTCCAAATATTTTGTATGAGTATGTTATGCACTTCCGTATTGTGCAAGGTGTAGTTCTAAAAAATCTTCTTGGATCTGCATGGAGCTGCATGTTTAATGAGAGGAAGAGTTGTATTGTATTTTTGATCGCTGACTGTTTTTTTTTTTTTTTTAATTTTTATTTTCAGAAAACGGCAGCCTCCAAGACTGTCAATGTGTATTCGCTCTGGTCAGAATTTCGCCTGAATGTTAGCCTCTAGGATAGACACCATTATATCAAACACAGTCTCGCCCGATTAAAGGGTATTGTTCCGATAACCACTGAAATCTGCGGAAGTGTAGCAGGTTGAAATTTATGACTACAGTACGTCACCCTTATTTAGTCAGAGCCTCGGGGAAGCGTCCCCAAAACAATACGCTTAAATCACAAATGGAAAGATACATATATAACTTATTAAATAATCAAATTCATACACCATGGGCCTATTCAATAGGCACAAACGTATATGCTAACCCAAGTTAGACTCCAACAGAGCCAACGAGTGAATACATTGCCCACAGTTTGTTCATGAGCATAAAGACATCAGAGTAAAACACAGCACGGATTGAATTGCACTAGTGAATTACACAACAAATCACAGCAACTGGAAGGGTCATGGGCAATCTAGCACCTGGACAATGTATGCAAGCTGCCTAATAAATAACCAAGTAATTAATCTACATACTACAAAAATGAACACAAACAAAGAAAAATAAAAATAGCGTTAGCCAGCCACTGACACTGAACAGCACTAACTGAGCTACCAAGCCAGCTGGCTAAATGGTAAGTGGTACTGCCTCAGATTTAACAAAAAGATTAGAGCAACACCAGGGAGGTTTACAGCCAGATCATTAAAATTATCAACACTTAATAATTAGACCCTAAAGAACAGCAGTTTACCCTACAACTCCCACTGCCAAATTCTGATTTTTCTAGACTGGTGATTCTTACAGGCAACTATTTCTAGTCACTCTGTCTCTATCTCTTGTTTGTAGATCGTAATGTAATTCAACATGCCCCACCATGATGCCCCATGACAATTTCGTGAGCATAACCACGCATAATATTTTTACACGTCAGGACCCCAGCTGCTTTTCCTATGCCTGTGTACACCCTACCGGCTACAAAAGGAAGTGTAAAAACGACCGTATCTGTTTATGTACTCAACTCAGAATACATATGAAATATGTCATACGACATTATATCGTGTTAAAAACAAACATAAGAAATACGAGGCTCTGCACAAAACTCTGGCGGGCATCTTCATTCATGACCAATATGGTGTGCTGTATGGTAATGAGCACAGTGCACCAGGAACGGCGTGACCAGAACAGGCAGAAAAGAGGAAAAGTGCACGTTTGTTTTTTTTACCGGCGGGTTGATATTTTGGGGCGTTTTAAACTGGTGAGTGTAGAATATATTTTGCATCCAAGCATGTCCAGTTTCTTAAAAAGGTTTCCTAAAATAACATTACATATCAGTGTGTTTTCAACTTTGCGGATGGAGCTCGTAGTAACTGCGATTACTTTACTAGTCGATGTCGCGAGGAGGAGAATCCTGGGGGCAGGTGAATCAGTGCTGTAGTATGGGGTGTTGTATGGGGAATTTATTGGTTGATTTTACTGTTGCATTGTATAGAAAGAGGGAGTTCTGTTCTCTTGAGCTTAGCTTTCGGCCATCATGACGCTCACCATCTCAGCACATATCATCAGTGTCTGATGTGTAGCTCCTGGACACAAACACACACACACTGTGCAGCACCGTCTCACAGGGCATCTGTGATGTGTAGCAGCACAGCTGGAGCGAATGAGCCACCCTATCCCAGATATCTTAG